AAGTACCAACCCAACTCCCTTCAAAATTTCCTCCTTTGGCAGGATCCCCTTCCCCACACTACTCCCTGAATTCTTTCGACTTGCTTCCATTTTTGCAGAGTTTTTCTTTTACAAATGTTTTCCACAACCCCCTCCCCCGCTGAAGAAATGACAGGGGAGGGGTACCGTCTAGCTACCAATAACACACCACCACTCCCTCGCTGGGGACCCCTACCGCACGACGTGTCCCGGCTACAAAACTACTATTTTTGCTACTAATCATCCTTTGTTGGAGGTATTTGCCCCCTCCCCTTCTCTAGGAATTTTGGAAAAAGTTGGAAAGAGGGCAGACAAACTCCGTATCCTGGAGTCCAAGTATTTCGCTTCAACCTGACATGAGATGCACTTTTCATGGAATTATTTCATAAGAGGCAACTGTCATCCTGTCTTGTTCTGGAGAAAGATTTGATCTGAACTATTCATGAACGGTGGGATACCACCAAAAGCGCAGTCGCCTTTACGTTCAAATGATGTAAGGCAGCCACGCTCTGCCCATCTACGAGGTATGGAATGTTGTAGGTTGAGAAACAGGGTCGTTAAGATGGAGGACATTTGAGAAGTAGCCTATGTTGGGGGGGGGGGGAATTTCCCTCATCTCGATGATATGCCATCTTCTAAATTTTCTTTTCTGCAAGGAAGTCGCTTTTCAATAAAAACTTTGTTTACCGACGTTTCTCTCGTGCAACGATAATTTTTTTTGCTCAGCTTCCGCGACTCTATTCGTTCGATTTCAACTCACGCCCCTCCAATATTGGGTTGGTGCATAATTATCCGTGGACGGTTTTTAGCCGGTATTTTGGCGCAGTTCGGTTTGGTGGGGGCACCAGATGATACTCAGCTAAGGTTGAACAGTCTATATCGTGAAGATCTGTAGATTTTCAAGACTAAAGTTTCTCACTTGTAGCACTTCGCTGCTACACATGAAATTACAGGTTGCACCAAAATGAGACGTTTTAGTTGACAACGACTAACAAACGAACTAACGAAAATGGAAAATACCCCCTAGGCCGAACATCGTTGGTACCTCTGCTAAAACAAAACGACAGTTTGCTCCCCATGTATAATGGAGGCAGTAAATAATTATCTTATTTGTAAGGATTAATATTGCCCTCCAGAATCTCCATGCAGAAAAGTTTTTGTTGGAATTTTCCCGTTTTTTCACGGTTAACAAATGAATAATAAATATTGCTTGAAAACCACGGGATTATTCAATCATTCCATTATTTATTCATATTTGCACGCAAAATACGCCATAAAACGAACTAATGAAAGCAAGCACATTTGACTGTAACGGAAAAGAGGAAGCACATGCAGTGTACAGCATCGTGAAAATGCCACATACTGCCCCAACACCAACCAACCAGTTTTCCACATTTTACAGTTCCTCACCCAAAAATTTTCGGGGGAGGGGGGTACAGCACGTGTGATACAGGAAAAATCACGAAAAGTCAACAAACGGAAAAAAATTTTCCCAACGCAGCAAACTTCTTTGGAAGCCCTATACGACCCCCTGTCCCAAGAGCGACCAAATACGACCCCCATCCCCAGCGGAAAAGTACGACCCCCCCCATGTGTTTCACGCAACGATGCTGTACCCTGAGCACATGTTTTAGTTTCGGGGAGTCACATAAGAAGGCGTGACATTAGTAAATAGAAGGCATAATAAATTTAATTTGGAGGGGTATAAGGTGAAGCCGGTCTAGTTATGGACCAGCCCAGTTAACCATAATGACATGTTACCTAATCGCATTAGTTTTGGTCCTTGTACCTCGTTTGATTTCTTCACGCCTGATTGCTCTTACTGTCATACGCTTACTCATTGTCTACAAGTCTGGCACTGTATTCGGCAACGTTCCCGTGGATGATTCATGACCGTTGATCATTA